TTTATTGGAAAGTGGCGGAAGTACTTATGGTACACAAACAAGGAAAACCTGTTAATGGAGTTTCGTCGTATCGTCCAAATTCTTTATTACCCGTTTTATCAAAAATCTTTGAACGTATTCTCCTTAATATGGTAGAATACACATTGTTCTCACAGAAAATCAAATAGTTCCGAGTCATCAGTTTGGGTTCGGAAAAAACATTCTACTGTAGAACAAATACACAGAATATGCGACAAAATCGAAAGAGCACTTGAGGAACAAAAAATTTGCACTGCAGTTTTCCTAGACGTATCGAAAGCCTTTGATAAAGTTTGGCACAAAGGACTTGTGCATATGATTGAACAGTGGTTTTCGAGACAAATATCCGAAATTATGTGGTCCTACTTATCTTGCCGATTCTTCAGAGTGAAATATAAAGGTGCGTACTTAACACTTGAACCAATTGAAGCCGGAGTACCGCAGAGAAGTTTACTTGGCCCAATTCTGTACCTAATTTACACAGCTGACTTGCAAGTCCCACCAGAAAGTGTTATTGCCACGTTTGCAGATGATACAGCGATCCTTACCACTGGAAACACAATAAACGAATCAACAGAAGCAACGCAACATTCCATTGTTCAAATTATTAGTCATTAGTTTAATTATTATTAGTATTTAAAAAATGTGGACAATAAATAGAGCAGCTTTTATTGCGGCATGCCAAGTTTAAAAACATATTTTTTCCATTTGTATTTTTTACTTTCAAAACCATTCAAAACATCTATTCAATTCAAAACGAATTGAAAACCATTGTTTTATACGCGCGCAAAATAATATCACTGCGTATTTTTGATATTTTTCAAGTGCAAAACGTGCAAAGTAATTTAAAATTTTTATCTCAAATAATCGAGACAGTGACTCCTTACAAAATTTATAAAAATTTTAGTGCCCGACTTAATGTCAAAAATTAAATTATTAATATATTTATATTGTTGTTATGCAAAAAAGTGAATTTATTTGCAAAATTGTTTTGTTTTTAAATTTGTTTATTTCACACACTTCTAAAAACAGCTGATAGAGACAGCAAATTAAGCTCAAAAATTAAGCTCTGAAGCTTAAAATAAAAACACAATAAAAGTGTTGGAAATAGAAAAAAAAAACAAATTTGTACAAATTGCAACTCACGTTATCGTAATTCGTGTGATCGTGTAAATTGTGTAGTTAACTTGTTTAAATTTGGTTTAATTTAAATTTGGTTTTTTGCGTTAACTACAAAACGTTAATAAATTTCTTTTTACATAACTTTACTTTACTTTATTTAACTAAAACAATATATTTATTCACGACGCTACCCAAAGAACTTCCGTTATTCTTACTTCACTCGATTGTGTCATTCGCTGTCAAACATAGTTTAGGTGACCACATGTTGTTAAAAATTTTAAGGTGCCCAGTTGTGCGTTTCGGATGTAGGTTAACAGTCGGCCCTTCCTGACGTCAAGCGTCCTCGCGCTCGGAATCAGTTTCTTCTTCGTACGGCAATTGACACCATGGCTTTAGAAGATCAGACGCATAGATTGATTTATAATGTCGTTGTTTTCGATCGGATCCTGGTAGGTCTTCGATGACATAACGGTCATTATCGAGAACTTCGGTGACTACGAACGGTCCTTTATATCGACATTCAAGTTTGCGGGACGTGCCTGTGGATGCTGGTTCTCGTTCTGCTAGAACTAAATCAGCTTGCTCATATTTCGTTGGTTTCCTGTGTTTGTCGTCGAAACGCTTTTTCGCTTTTACTCGTTTACTATCGGTGTTATTAGCAGCAAGTAATCGTCGGCGTTGAAGTTCTTCTTCGGTGATTGGAATAGTATCGTCTTCATCTTGGAGAATTTGGATCAGCTTGTTACCCAATATGTCGCGTGGCTTGAATCCAAAAAGCAATTCGTTTGGAGATTTTCCCGTCGTTTGGCTAATCAGTGAGTTCAATGTACATTGAATGCTTCGTAGTTGCTCGTCCCAGGTTCGGTCATCTTGTGTTGATGGTTGCAGCATGGATAAAACGGTGCGATTAAATCGTTCGACTTGGTCATTGGCGTACGGACTGCGTTGCGTATGTGTTTGATTTGTTGATCGTTACAGTATCTTTCGAATTCTTTTGACGTAAAGGCGGTACCACGATCACTTATTATATTTTCAGGTGTTACAACGTAACTGATAACTTCATTCAGAATGGCGATGACTTGTTTAGTGTTCGTACTTTTCACTGGTCTGACGATGACAAATTTTGTGAAACTGTCCACAATAATCAGGATATACTCGTTTAACTTTCGGCTTCGGGGAAAAGGTCCCAGGTGGTCAATGTGTATTGTTTTGAACGGAATAGGCTCCATTTTGTCGCAATGTAACTCACCTTCCTTTTTACCTCCTCGACGCTTAGTGAAGGCACAATCAATGCACGCTTTCACAAAAGATTTGACAAAGTTTCGCATTCGAGCGAACCACATAGACCGTTATCCTCAATTTTCATTACGATTTGTTGAAGTTTGCTATCTTGTAATTGCATACTGTAAAGCCAATCTGCCTCAGTTATTTCCGCCTTCCAGACTCGCAAAGTCGCTTCCTCAAGATCGCAACCGTCTTCCTTAGGCATACGACTTAGTGCGTCGACGTGCGCCATTCGATGCTCGCTTCGATGTTCGATGATGAGGTCATAGTCTTGGATACGAAGCCACCATCTGGCTATACGAGGTATTATTTCTCGCTTTTGCATGGCCAATTTTACAGCATTGCAATCGGTAATAACCGTAAACGACTTTCCATAGATGTAATATTTAAAGCGGTCCACAGATTCGACAACTGCAAGCGTTTCTAATTCGTAACTGTGATATTTCCTTTCCAGCGGTGTGGTAGATCGACTAAAATACGCCACCGGCTTCCAATCTCCGTTGTCATTTTGGAGTAAAACACCTGCGAGTCCGATGGCACTCGCGTCTGTATGCACTTGATGGTCAGTTTCCACTCGGTAGTCCGTTAATACTGGTCCGGTTGTTAGTGCTTCATTTAGACTCACAAAGGCGTTTGTTTGTTGATCTGTCCATTTAAAGACGGCGTTTTTCTTAAGTAATTGTCGCAACGGTTCGGATATAATTGCGTAGCCTGGTATAAACTTACGGAAATATCCCGTTAACCCTAAATAGCGCCGCA